GTGGGGCTGGGGTGCCCACTAGCTCAGGCAACAATATGGAGGTGCACAGACAGCAAGGGACCAATGAACAGATACCAAAAGAAAAGAATGTCCACATCTTTATCTCAGCGGTTCTGCCAGGCGTCTGTGGCCGCTCCAATTCTTCCCCCACGTGGTCTCACCCAAGATGGCGGCTCCTCAAGCAGCTGAGCGTCCCGGACTAGAAAGCAATGGATTTCTTGTTTCTGCCACAAATTCCCCAGCTGTAAGTCTTCCAACCTTCTAAATATTCCTTTATATGAGGTTCAGAGTTCTGGGACCAATCCCTGAGCCTGCTTGGTCCTGTATTCTGTGTAGTTGCTGTGTTTACTGCACTGCTATCCGATCCGCCATCTTGTTTGTTCTCCTAAAACCATTTAATTTTAGGTTTTCAATAAGTAAGTTGTTCAGAGTTCAAAATTCAAACAAATTCCCTTTTTGACCCTGTCTCCCTGCCCCACAGGTCTCCTCGTGGGGCAAGAGGTGTTCAAGGTTCTTCTGCTTCCTTTCAGAGAGAGCTGTGCACACACCAGGAGACACCACATAGAAGTCCTGCACAAACAATACCTATGGTCACCTTGTTAGGCACCTTGTTTATTTAATTTCACAGATCATGAGACTGGGCCTTACTCGCTTTAGGCTGGGTGCAGTCATTGCTGCAGTGGGAGCGTATGCATGTCCCTAGAGCTGGGTGCAGCCATGCCTATGACCGTCCTCCCTCCTCAGGGGCAGGCAGTGCTGCAGCAGTCACCTGACTCACGTAGTGTTCTCGGTGCCGCTGCGCAGCCTTGTCCAGAGCCCAGCCCATCCATCCAGGAGTGTGTCTGTGAGGTAGTTTGCTAGCAGTAAACTTGTTTTCACCTAAGTTGTCATTTTCACTTACCGTTCTCCCTACCTGGAGTTAATATTTTCAGTGGAAGGCCTCTCTCCACTCACTCCACCACCTTTCCCACTGTGTGAAACACCCAGTGACCCCTCACTAGATGGCCTGGCTCCTTGGCCCTTTGTAAATTAGGGTAGTGTTTCAGTGTGTTCATTTATCCACCAGAACTTCCCAGCTGGCTCTCCCAGTTGCCCCAGCTATGCCACTTGTGCTTGTTGGGACCCAGTTAAAGTAAAGACCAGCACAGGGAGGACTGAGCTCTTAAGTGACAGCGCTTTTGTGTCTGTGAGCTCTGTTGTGTCTGGTGTCTGGTGCCCCCCCACCCCCCCATCTTTAAGTAATGTCTTAGTTGGGTTTGGGGCTAAGTGCGTGTTCAGTCAGGCTCTGTCTTAACACCTCCTATGTGGGAGGTGTGGTTCCTCGTAGGGGGTAGGGTGCTGAACCCCCGTGTGGTTCCTCGTAGGGGGTAGGGTGCTGAACCCCCCCCCTGTTCTTTCCTCCTGCCCTGTCTGCTTCCAGGGAACCTTCTGAGCAGTCTCATGGGCTCCTCAGAGCAGGAGGAGGGTGAGGAGAGCCAAGAAGACAGCAGCCCCATTGAACTCGACTGATGGCCCGCAAGTACTGGAGACACGGCTGCCCGGCAGCTTCAGAATGCGAGTCCTGCGCCACGTGTGGTGTCTCCTGGTCTCCTCATCCTGAGGCTGGCAGGCTGCATCCGGGCTCTGCTCTCCAGTCTGTGAAGTGTGCCGGCCACCCGTTGCTGTGCTGACGGACTTGGTGCAAGTCTCGTGGCCTGTGGTATTCCCGCCCCTCAGATTGCCCCGTGATAAAGCACAGGCCTTCCTGTGACCCTTGTTTCTCCAGCTTCCTGCGGAAGGGGTGCTGAATGAATGGCCCCCCACCCCCAGGGCCAAGGGCACCACAGCACACAAGGAAGGAGGAGGCGGCCTCTTTACTATGTGTCTGAACCAGGGGCTGTAATGCACCTCATCTCCATGTGTGGGCGCCATGTGGCCATGCCACAGCCAGGCGGGCACCACATCCCTGTCCCCTTGGTCACCCGCCAACAGAGTCGCTGCTCGGGAAGGGCACAAAGGGATCCTGCAGAGTCCCACCTCGCTCGTGAGGCAATATTTATTTTTATTGGGTGATTGATTCCTTTGGCCTAACATCTTAGGTTTTAACCAAATAACCATCCTGGAGTTAGCAGAGCCACCCTCGTCACCAGTATAATCACAGAAGGGGAGACACTTTATTTTTTCACGTTAAAAGTTGTAGATTACTACGCCGTGATCATGCATGGGAAGGGTGAGATACACAGTCTAATCTACTGTACAAATGAAATTTAAAGGAAGGTTTTGTGTTCATTGTTGAGTTTAAATAAATACTTTATACTGGGTCCCGCTTTTGGAATTCACTCCTGGGCTTGGAGGTGGCTCAGCTGAGGTCTCAACTACTCAGTTCACACCCAGCCCTGGGGGAGATCTGAGCAAGGACCCTGTGAGCTGCTTATCCCGTGGATGGACAGAGATAGGGCAGTGAGTGGCCAGCACTGGGAATCTTGAACCCCCTCCACTCAGCTGTGTATTTAGGCATTTATATTTAGATTTGGAAAAAAATCAAACCCAAAGGGTTCTGGGTGGGCCAGAGCTAGTCACTGGAGAGGCTAAGCCTAGTTCAGTAGCCACTGTACCCCGAAAGGTGGGTCAGCTCATGTCTGCAGCCAAGAGCCCAGAGCTTTAAAGAGCCACTGGCTCTGGACCCTGGACTGTCACTGGAGAAAGTCTTCCAATGACCACTGACCAGCAACCTACACTGTCATCTCATACCACCCAACCCTTCTCTGGGGACCTTGTGTCTCGGTTCTCATTTGGGGAGGAGCTCAGCCTAGAATTCCTGGGTGCTGGATGAGGGCCCAGGCCCCCTGCCTTTCTGCAAGTCCTTGCTGAATGGAGGCAGAGGCTCTGGATTCCCAAGGTCCCTGAGTGGCCTTCGCTACACACAGAGAGGGAAGTACCTTTCCATCCCAGTTCTAGTATTGGGGGGTGGTACCTACAGTTCAACATGATTCAGTGCCCCACCCTACACACACACGACACCACACCAGAACCACAGCTTTATTCCAGATGACACGGTAACCCAACCCCAGCTGGGAGCTTGTTCTGTTCTCGTGCACTGCCAGGCCCAGGCAGTGGGCAGGACTGTCTTGGCTTAGAGGGATGGAGTCCTTTCAGGTCATATGTGGCCCTAGGTCCCCACCAAGACCACCACATATGTGGTCCAGACAGCCACAAGGTCAGCCCCAGTCCCACCTGGGCGCCTTGGTCCTCAGGAAGGGTCAGGGTGAATAAATAGATACTGCCACTACTGGCCGGCCAGCAGCAAGCTGGGGTCCAAGGCAGAGGCCGTGAACAGGTGGCAACCCCAGGGTGTGGTCAGCAAGGTCACAGCCCGTGCTAGGTCAGCAGCCAGCAGGAGCACCATCAGCCTCTAGCAGATGGCCTGAGTGGACATGCACATGTCTGCACATCACCCCCAGCTAGGAATCCAGTTCCCCCCCAAAGTGACCCAGTGGCCCAACAAATACTTGTCAGAGAAGGGGGCCTGGGGGAGAGGGTCCTGGAGCCAGGCTGGTGGCGTCCTGAGGGTGGACCAGGGGGTGGAGAAATAGGCACATGGCAGCCAGGCCCACAGTCATCCCTGTTCCCCCCTCCCCCCATACACACACAGGCCAGCTCCCATTGGGCCCACAAAAACTACAAGGCAGGGAGGTGGGGGCAGCTGCTGGGGAATGGTACTCCTGGGATGGGGAAGGGAAGCAGGCTGGGGTGCATCCAGGGAAGTCAGGGCTGGGCAGGGATCAGCTGGGCTGGAGCCAAGAGGCCCATGCTGAGGCCTCTGAGAACAAGTCTTAGAGTGAGAGCAGGGGTCCCTAGCCCACCTGGCCACTCAGAACTGCCCCCCAGCATGAAAAGGCAGGGCAGGACCACTGGGCCCCTCAGAGCCCCCACTGCAGGCTGCCTGATCCCACTGCCTCCAGTCCACTGCACAGCAGCTGTAGAGGTCCTCTAGGGTTTATGCTTGAAGTGGGCCTCCACTGAAACACGACGATGGTCTCAGCTAGTAGAAGAGTGGCCCCACTCCCACAGCATGTCCCGGGACCCCACCCAGACTCTGGGATTCCATCCACACCCTGGGGCCCCACCCATACCCCCAACCCTACCCAGACCCCTGGGCCCCAAACCAGACCCCAGGCCCACACACACTTTGGGACCCCACCCACACCTCCAGGACCCTACCCAGACCCCAGGACCCCCACCCATACCTCAGGACCCAACCTGGACACTGGGGCCTCCGCTCTCCTCTCACCTGCATATTCCTGGGGCAGCATGGGTCGGTCGACGACGCTGCGGAAGGCAGCCACCCACTCCTGGCGGTCGGCTTCCGTCTCGCAGGTGAACAGGAACTTTCGGTCGGGTGTGACAATGGTGACGCCGTGGGACCAGTGGTGGCCCTGGGTGGACGGCGGGAGCCCCTCCAGCACCAAATAGCCGCCCTCCTTGCTGCCGATGAAGACCTCCCCGCGAGCAAAGGCGTCCTGGAGCGGGAGGAGGCTGAAGGGTGCCAACCATGGCCCCTGGCAGTCCCCACCCCTAAAACCCGGAAATCCCGTTCCCCAGCCAGGCCCCCACCATGTGACTGGCAACCCAGGGCTCACCAGGGGGTCCTTAAAGTACATCAGCCTGCGGTCATCCATGGTGAACCAGCGCTTCCGGAATCCTTCAGTTTGCTGCAGGGCAGCCGATGAGCAGCCAATGAACAGTGGCTCGGTCCACGGCTCCCCTCCTTCCCCTCACCCCCCACCGCACTCCCCTCTCCCCCCCACACACTGCCCTGCACTCCCCTCACTCCCTGCCCCACGCTGCACACCCCACCCTCCTCTGGACACCCCCCCACACCACTCCCTCTGCCTTCATCTCCCCTGGGAAAATCAACCCCCCTCCACCCACCTCATCCCCTCCCTCGCACACAACCCCTGGTGGCTGGGACAGAGAGTGGGTGACGGTCAGAGCGTGAGTGGGGACCATCACACTCACCTTGGGCCCCGTCTTCTCCATGTAGCCCTCCTTTAGGTAGTTCCGGGATAGCTTGGGCACCAGCTGTGGAGCAAGGTGGTCAGGATCCCCCTCTTCCAGGCTTACCTCACCACCACCCCCTTCTGGCCAGACCCGGTACAACCCTTCTTTCTACAGTTAGGATGCAGTGAGAGAGCTGGGCTTACATTAGGGCCACCCTGGGACCTAGGTCAGCATCCTGTCCTTCCTGCCCCAGGCACTCACACTGGGGTCCCTGCTCCCCACATTCATTTCCCTGACCCCACACACACATTGGGCTCCCTCCCCTCACATCTAAGCTGTTACCTTTCACATTGGAGCTGCTGGCCCCTCATTGACATCTGGGTCCCTGTCCCCCACATTCGTGTCAAACCTGACCCCACACATACTTTTGGTCCCTGCTCACCCCCATCCCCCACCCTACCCCCGTGTGTCAGCATCAACAGCTCCCCATTCAAGGTGCCTGCCCCCCCCCCCACTCACGTCGGTGTCACTGGCCCCAGGGAAGGCCACCTGCAGGTAATGGAAGCGGGCTGCCCTCAGTGCATTGAACCAGTCCACCATCTCCTGAAGGCGAAGTGAACGGATGTGAAAGGTTCATACAGATTAGGGAGTAAGCACACAGAAATGCATGCTTACCTTGTCTATTGAGTCCTCTGCACACACACCCCAGTGCCACTCTTTCCCACCTCCTCCCATTGGACACTCTTCAGCCCATCTGCATGAGCTCCAGGGCCCATTGGCATGTGCTATCTGGACTCCCCTGTAGTGACCCTCACTCCCAAGTTGCTGTGGCTCACCCTTACCCCTGCGCCTATCACCCCTGACCTTACCTCTCAAGGCTGGCTACCTCCACCCAGCTCCCTGCACCTTGGTTCTCACCTCCTCTCTCCCACACCTGTCCGCACTGGAGAGTCCATCTGATGCCCCAGCCCAGAGCCTTGTTTTTAGGGTATCTACCTACTTCTCTGCCTTTGCCTCTCTTCACCTACCTATCTGCCCCTGGGGGTGCTGGTAGCGTAGTGGTTACGAATCGGGCTGCGAACCTTAAGGTCAGCGGTTCAAAACTACCAGCCACTCTGCGGGAGAAAGATGAGGCTTTCTACTCCCGTAAAGATTTACACCCTCGGAAACCCTGTACAGGGTTGCTATGGGTCAGAACCGACTCGACGGCACTTAACAACAACTCCTCCCAGGAGGGCTCACCCAAGCCCACATGGCTCGTTGGGGCCCAGACACCCTCTCTGAAATATAGGCTGCAACTTCTGTCACAGCGCTGCTCCTCCCCACCACCTCCTGCCACCTCAGCCAAGCACCCAGTATGTCAGTAGGCACAAGGAATTTGTTCTGAAGGGTCTGACAGCCTGAGCTCCTAGACAGTACACGCACGCACAATTGCATGAACACAGGAGATAGCAGCTGAGAAGGAAATCAGCAGAGAGCAGAGAATCATGAAATAAGAAGAGCGTCCTTTGAAATAGGAAAGTTCCAAGAACAGCAAGGAGCCCTGCAAAATTAGACATCTGAGAGCAGAAACAAAACCCTTAACAGAAGAGTGGGAAGACAACGCTGAAGAAATTTCCCAGAAAGTTGGAACAAAAAATAAATAAAAGAAGAGGAAGAGTGGAAATAGAAGCAAAAGAATGAGAAGTCAACAAGTAAATAGTACAACAGGAAACGGAAGGAAGCAATCATTCCCCAACCTCACGGACAGAAGTGAAGAGACAACTCCACCGAATGCCCAGCAAGGTGGAGAAAGCTGGGAACAGACCCGCCAAACAAAGACAGGTTCACATGAAGAAGTAAGCTCAACAGCAGGACTGCAAGCAGAGAGTTGGTGGGAAATTGTGGGGAAACCAGTTCCCACGGAGAATTCGTTATGGAGCAGCTATGGGCTGCTGAACGTGTCCCCTGTGTGGAGTCCTAACCTATGAGCGAAACCTTGTTTGGGAACAGTATCTTTGAAGATGGTATTGGTTAGGTTAATGTGAGGTCCTACGTTGAGTCGTGTGGTCTAACCAAGGAGAAGAGAAACTGAGGGAAGACTGAGGTAGAAACTGGTGTGATTTCACTACAGACCACCAGGAAGGAACCTCCAGAAGTGGGACCCTCCCCAAGACCCTTCTGAGGGAATCTTGATTTTGGACTTGTGGCCTTCACAACTTTGAGAACACATCCTGCTGTTCAAAGCCGCCCAGTGGTGGTCCCCGGGGGTTCCCAGGACACCTCTAGGGAGACAGCGTGGAAAGCTGTCCAGCCCTCCCCACCCCTGCTCTGCCCACCTTCCCATCTTCGTGGTAGACGAAGATGTTGCGTGTGCTGTTGTCCTTCAGGTAGGTGACCTGCAGACCGTGGGGGTGGCCGATCTTGGCTGGCTGGAAGGTGGCATTAAGATGCTCAATCTTCATGATGGCTTTGGGCTCCTTGGCCTGGGGAAGAGGCGGGGTGAGAGCCAGCAGCTCTGCCTAGGGCTGGCACCTTAAGTGTCAGTGCTGTGTGGCTCCAGGCAAGCTGTTCAGCCTCTCTGGGTCTCAACTCCTGGTCTGGGCACCTAAGGTTACAGATCTCTGTCCTCGAGTACAAGGATGACCAAATGACACATGACCCTCAATGTTCAGGAGACTCCCTCCGTCCCCGCCCTTCAAGCAGAGGCTCCTGCTGATCCCGGCCTCTTTCCTCTGTCCCCTCAGGACGTTCACATACAAGGGGGCAGTGTGGCTCCTAGGGTGCCAAGAGGCAGCTGTCCGGGGACCATGCTCAGCCATCTACCCAGCTGGGCACCCCTGCCAGCCCCCCTAGGCCGCCCTGCTCACGTACATCATTCTTGTTGAAGTATTTCAGGGCACCCTCTCGTTCCGTCAGCACAAACTTCCGGCTTAAGAACTGCCCGTTGTCTCGGCCACGCTTCCAGAGGAACCCTTCCCGGTATCCTGGGGGGGACAGATGAAGTCATCAATCACATGGAGGGGTCACAACTGCCAGGGGTCTCCAGCACAGCTGGCCTCACCTGGCCCCACAGGATGGTGTGCAGGACCGGAGCAGCCCAAGGTGGTCAGGCTGGGTTCAAGTCTGTCTCACCTCAGCCCGACAGGGGTCCGCTTTGGGTTGGGAGGTGGGTGGCAACGATGCAATAGACTTTATGAAGCCCCCCAATGTCCAGAAGCCAGGCTGCCTGCTGCTGTTGTTCTGGTTTGCTTAGTGTTTGGGTTTTGTGTTTCTGAGGAATAACAAAGTACACGCCCCTTCCTGTACAACCACTGGCTATTTACACTTGGACACAGTGATGTGGGGCCCTGGTTAATATCCATGGTTCAGACCCCATCAGCAGTGCTGTGAAAGAAAGACCTGGCGATCTGAATCTCCAGACCATCACATGGGGTCACTATGAGCTGGAATCAGGTTTGTTTTTTGTTTATGCACCTAGTCATCGTCTTGTGGCCAGCAACGACAGCATCCCCCGTACCATGGGGGTTACCTTATGAGACCACCAGAGGGAAGGCTAAGGAGCTTGGGGTGGGAGGCTGTCCTGGGTTCCCAGTGGACACTAATTGTAACTTGGTGGTCAGGATCAGAGGCGGGCACTGCCTCTCTGGATTGTTGTTGTTGTTAAGTGCCATTGAGTTGATTCCGACCCATAGCAACCCTGTGTAGGGTTTCCAAGGCACAGCTGGTGATCTTGAACCACTGACCTTGCAGTTCAAACAACTTTGCAGTCTGATGCATTAGCCGACAGCACACCAGGACTCTGGATAGGGTCCCACATTCCACTCGTGCTCTTCTCCCTTGATGGACCCTAGAGTACTCTGTTCCTGAACTATAGGATTAACTGGTGGTAGTGGTGGTGTGCCATGGAATCAGTTCTGACTCATAGAAATCCTGTATAGGGTTTCCGAGGCTGTAAATCTTTATAGGAGCAGAAAGCCTCTTCTTTCTCCCATGGAACGGCTAGTAGTTTCGAACTGCTGACTATGAGATTAACAGCCTAACTCGTAACCACTACGCTACCAGAACTCCTTATAGGATTAACTGGTGGTGGTGGTTATGTGCCATGGAGTCGGTTCCGACTCATAGCGACCCTGTACAGGATTTCTGAGGCTGTAAATCTTTACGGGAGCAGAAAGCCTTATCTTTCTCCTGCGAACAACTGGTAGTTTCAAACTGCTGACCTTGCGGTTTGCAGCCCGATTCGTAACCACTATGCTACCAGACTATTCCCCGCCTTATTTTTAACAAAACTTCTACCTTTACAGTTGTGAGTTGCAATTAGTCATAATAACAATTATTTAGTATTGAATCATAAGAATCTTAATCCCATTTCCTTTCACCAGACCTGTCTACACAAGATGAAAACTATTTAGTGGGGATTCTACCTTCCCACACACACTCTGAAACTAAACTCCCTCTAGAAAACTTGTAAGCCAGTCACTTGGTGTCTTTATAGTCCCCTCATTTTAGGTAGCCTATGTCTAAGGAGCTCTGGTAGCGTAGTGGTTACGAATCGGGCTGCGAACCTTAAGGTCAGCGGTTCGAAACTACCAGCCGCTCCGCGGGAAAAAGATGAGGCTTTCTATTCCCGTAAAGATTTACACCCTCGGAAACCCTGTACAGGGTCGCTATGGGTCGGAACCGACTCGACGGCACTTAACAACAACAACAACGTCTAAGTTGCTGCTTGGAAAACCTATCCAGGGTTGCTATGGGTCAGAACCGACTCGATGCACTTAACAACAACAACAACGTCTCAATTGCCCGTCCCAACCTACCCTCTCAGTTGGAATTTTGAGCTACTACATCCATAAGGAAGGAGCTCTGGTAGCGTAGTGGTTACGAATCGGGCTGCGAACCTTAAGGTCAGCGGTTCGAAACTACCAGCCGCTCCGCGGGAGAAAGATGAGGCTTTCTATTCCCGTAAAGATTTACACCCTCGGAAACCCTGTACAGGGTCGCTATGGGTCGGACCCGACTCGATGGCACTTAACAACAACAACAACATCCATAAGGAGCTCTGGTAGCATACTGATTACAAATCAGGTTGCAAACCACAAGGTCAGCAGTTCGAAACTACCAGATGTTCCACAGGAGAAAGATGAGGCTTTCTGCTCCCGTAAAGATTTACAGCCTCGGAAACCCTCTACAGGGTCGCTATGAGTCAGAACCCACTCCACGGCACTTAACCACCACCAGCCACATCCATAAGTATGTTGTTGTTGTTGTTGTTGTTAGGTGCCATCGAGTTGGTACCGACTCATAGCGACTTTATGCACAGCAGAACGAAACACTGCCCGATCCTGGGCCAACCTCACTACTGTTGGCACGCTTGAGTCCATCGATACTGCCACTTGGCCAATCCATCTCATTGGGGGTCTTCCTCTTTTTCTCTGACCCTCCACCTTACCAAACATGATACCCTTCTCCATCGCCTGGTCCTTCCTGACAATATGTCCGAAGTATGAAAGATGAAGTTTAGCCATCCTGGCCTCCAACGAGCACTCTGGCTGCACTTCTTCCAAAACGGATCTATTGGATCTTTTGGCATCCATAAATATAGGTCAAATTAATAAAATTATAGCAATTTACACTTGTTTCCTTCATCAAAAATTATTTTTTTTTATCTTCCTTTAGTCGAGTTCTGATCATCAAGCCTTTGATGGGTACTATCTACAAAGTTGGGTGTTCTTGTGCATTTCCCCTCACTTCATTATCAGCTGGATGCGTCACTCTCAGCTCTAGCCCTCCATGGCTATGTCCTTGTCCATGGGCTCAAGTATTACTACACTTTGGGCCAACCACCCTGTCCTCTTCTCGCCATGGCACTTTTAATATCATCCTCTAAAACCAAGCCTCAAATGCATGAGTTCTTCTACCGTGATTCTTAGGAAGCTATTTAAGATACCCTGGCTCGGGTCAGGCACATCTTAGTCCTCAAATGACATTTTTGCTCTTGAACACTATAAAGAGGACTTGTGCAGTAAGCAGTACCTCCTGGACATGTCCACACGCAGGCCCAACAACCTGTCATCCCATTTTACAGGTGAGGAAACAAAGGTGCAGACCCATCCAAGGTCACCAGGTCATCAAGGGCAGGACAGTTTGTGAGGCTCCTCTGGACAGGAAAGTGAGTCTCTGGGGTGCCCAAACTGCCATGCCCACACTGCCCAGCAGGGGGCAGCCATATCTCATGAGGGATCATGTGAAGGCCAGGCTGCCTGGCCGTGGACACCCCAGGCCCAGGGCAGATGAGACTGTCCCTGGAGAGTAAAGAGTGAGACCGTCCGTGGGGGTCAGTTACTCTGAGGACTTTCTGACCTCTGGCATCCACATGCCTGGTCATGCCTCCTGGGCACAGAGGCTCTGAGGCTATGCGGTGAGCGTGGGTGTACGGGAGTGTGTGTGTATGTGAGCGTGGGTGTGCATGAGTGTGGGTGGGTGAGCTGCAGGTGTGCATGTGTGTATGTGTGTGTGTGTGTGTATGACAGGTACCTGTGTGTTTACGCACGCGTGCTAAGAGCCCTCTTTCCAACAGCAAGCCGACAGGGAGTAACTTTCGGGGATGGGGTTGGTGAGGGTCATGGGCGCTCCAGCCTCCCTCCTAGCCCAGGGACCACAAGGAGCTCAGCAGCTCCAGCCTCACGGTTACTGTGTCCCAGGGACCATTTTCTCTGCAGGGCTGGCGTGTTCAGGGTCCGAGGCCAACATCTCACTCAGCATCTGTTCAGCACCAACTGTATACCAGCATCTACAGCATGCCTGTCCCACACCCCCATGCAGCTGCCTCTGCCTAGAAGCCTGTAGACCTCTCAGCATGATCACTGGGCCCCACAGTGCCCACCAGAGCTCTAACCACACCATTGTGCATTGACCCATAGCCTGGGACCCCCACCCAGGTGCTCAGGATGCTGGGGGTCTCACAGAGCCACACTTGCACCTCAGTCCTGCTCCTAGGAACTCACCCTGGGTGATGGGGTAACAGGCATGGGCTCTGGCCCCCGGGCTCCACCCATTAAGCACCCCCACCCCCATGCACCCACTCCTGGGTTTTGCTCACTCAGCCCCCACCACCACCTCCCACTGGTCCCAAAGGGGCTCCGCTGGGCCTGCAGCATTAAAACAAGGGGGTGGATCTGCCTCCAATCCTAAGAGAACAGGGAGAGGTTGAGGCTCCCTGAGAGAAGGGGCGGGGGACAAGCCAGCAGTGTCTGTGATGGGGGGGGCAGAGGGGAACCTTCAGTTGACAAAAGAGACCATTGTACGGCCACTGAAAGGCCGCCCGGAGGCTCAAGCGAGGGGAAGACATGGAGGGCAGTTTGGGAAGGAACCAGATGCATCCATGACCAGGTTCACAGCCCTACAGGGAGGGCCTTGGGGAGCTGGTGGGCAGATGGACCGAGGTCTGGCAGAGTGGTGTGGGGATGGTCCATTACACACTGCGGCTGCAGGGAGATGACCATGATGGGCATGGTCCTCGGGGAGACTGGGCAGAGGGATCCACTTCAGGCCAGGGCTCTGCTTCCTCTGCCTAGGGCTCTGCCAACTCTGTGGGTGTCCACCAGCCCTGCCCCGTCCACTACCATGGTGCCAACCCTACCCTCCACGGGTACAGAGCGCCAGGCAGAGAGCTGGGGTGTTGAGTGGCAGTCTCCTCTCTGCCCACCAGGAAGGGGACCTTCCAGTGGCTGGGGGTAGAGGTCTGATTACAAACGCCATTCCACAGGGAAACATGCAGGCTGCCTCCCACACTCCTCCTCAACCCAGCTGGGGGTGGGGGGCAATGCCTGTGTGTGTCCCGTCTGTCCTGTCCTTTGAAGACCTGCCGGGATTGGGTTGGCTGGGCAGCCAGGGTCCCAGCACTGAGGGGGTGTGGTCAGTGGGAGGGGTCCCACCACTGGGACCAGGTGACATTCCCCCCCACTCCAAGCCTGACTGTTGCTGC